TTTCCTATGTTTCTTCTCCAAGAAAAAAGGGGGTAGCTTATTTTCGGAGGTGGCTTATTTTCGGCAATATACGGTATTTGAATCTATTTGGTGATAGTTTGTTAAAGTTTCAGAAATTTCAAAGTCTAATTCATCGCTATCATCATCAGATGATTCTTTGTGGCGAAAGCTTGGCATATCTTTTAAATAAATTTAAAATTTTAATAAATTATTAATAAAGTTAATTGCTAATGCCATACTAGTAAGCTGTATCTGTCTTACTCTTTTTATTTAAAATATCATCCGTTATTTTAACATTAGCAAATATATACTTAAGGGTTTGAATTAAAGGGTAAATAATTGATAAAGTAGCATATTTGGAGCCACTAAAATAGGTAGTCGCATCATCAAATGGTTCCATCAAAGTTACAATCTGACTTAATAAATCCCACTTATGAGGTAATAAAAGTAATTTTTTTAGCTTTTGACTATCAGCTCTATCATCCGAATTATTTAATAAAGATAATGTCGCATCTAACTATTCAATTGCTTTACGCAATTTAATTAGCCATTTCTATGAATGGTACTTTGAGTTCCATCTCATCTTCACATCTGTGATACTTCGTAAAATAGGTTCTTTAGAACCTGCAATATTTACTGGCAAGTCATCTGAATCGCTATCATTGGAACTTGATACTTCAGTCAAATTATAGTTTTGGGTTTGTGAATGATGCCAATATTCTTGTTGTGCATTATCTAGACGCTTGCTTTGCTTAGGAGATTTAGTAAAAAATTTAACTAATTTTTTAATTCTTTTAATGTAAAAATTTGTTTTTTTAAAGGCATGAGTAACTGAAAGTTGCAAAGTATGAGCTACACAGAGCAGACATTCAACACCTTTCTACAACCTCATTGCCTTGACCATATTACTATCATTGTCTGTTATAATACAACTAATTTTTCCATCTAACCCAAATTCAAAAACTTTTTTTTTTAAAATCGCAATTATATTTTCAGCTGAATGTGGATATGGCATACGCTCCATGCAAAGAAAACAATTATATATTTTAAAATCATCTGATAGCCAATGGAGCGTTATGCCTATATATCCATGGCTACTTCTTGAGGTCCACAAGTCAGTCATTAAAGATGCTGATTCATATATATTGTCTAATAATTTTTTTAAATTGTTCACTGCATTAGGATAGTTGCTAATAATTTCTTTCTTTATCCCTTTATCAGTAGGAAGACAAAAGGCCGGGTCAATAATTTTCATTATTTTCTGGTAACCCTTTCCTTTAATAGTATTAAATGACACATTGTCAATGACAATCCATTCGGTTATTGCCTGTCAAATCTCATGATTTCGTGATTTTTTATGCATTTTAATAATTTTAGACTGTTTAAAAACTTCAGGTATCATCTGTTGAATAGCATAATTATGATTCTATATAATAATATAAGTATTTATTAATAACAATTAATTGTATCAAATATTAAATATTAATTAATATAAACTTATTTTATTTCGATTTTCATGTAGGTCATGCTTGTCTTGAAGATGGCTGCTCATATTTCCCATACTGCCGTCATATAGAAATTTGTGACCACACTTAACTTCTTGATTATTTAAATTCATCGTTTTAACTTTACATATATCAAATTTCCTATCTTCACTCAACTCAAAATATCCCCATACCCAACTTGACTTTATATATTGCTGCTTTGAGTTCTGACGGTTTAACTGTTTAGGTTTTGGTTGATTAAATTTTCTTTTTTTATAAAAGAAGTTGCTGCTAGAACTGATAGATATATTATCACTGGTCTCACAATTTAAAGAAGAGATAAGTTCTTCAGAAAGTTCAAAAGATGTAGATTCTTCAAAAAGTTCAAAAGATGTATGTTTTTCATAAAGGTTAAGAGGTGTAGGTTCTTCAGAAAGTTCATACATATAATTGCTTTTGTTATCACTTATCGTCAAAAAAAAAAAAAAGAAAAGCTCTAAAAAAGTAAAAAATATTTGGGCAATGATGTTGAATATATATATTAGACGTTGCAGTATTTGGAAAATTGCATTAAAAAAAGCTGAATTTCTCTTTTGAATGGATAATAAAAGTTTTTTATAATATACGTATTGGTTTAAGGGTAGAGGATACATAGATCATTTATCATATGATTTTTGTGGTACAACGTGATTTTTATAAAAAATAAAATATGCTACTAATAAAACTTTTTACTGTTTTAATTAATTTTTGTAAAATTTTTATATTATATCTATTCTTTATAATAATAAAATTTTTAATAAATCAAATATTTGAAAAAAATATACTTGTATATATTGTAAGTTTTCCGTAGTCAGTTCAAATTCTTCGGGGTTACACAAAACCGTTGATTTTGATTGGCTTATGTCATATGATCATCATATGATTTTTATAAATAATTTATAATACTAAATGTTTAAATACATGCATCTCAATAAATATCTAACCAATTTTAATAATTTTACTACTGTTAGAATCAGAAAAACCTGTTCTACATCTTTTATTAGAAATTTAATACTAGTTTACTTAATAAAATTTTCTTTAATTTTAAAAAGAAAGAAAAGTTGCTATTAGTTTTATATATAATTTGCAAATAGTATCCTCTACCCTTAAAGCTAGATCAACGATCAAATCTTTTTTATAGTCGGTAAAAGCCGGTATATTTTTCTGGCATTTCCGGCACTATATGTATCTAACCGATTTGACCCAGGTTACAAATTGAAGACCCAGGTCGCCTGTTTTGACCCGGGTGACCCGGGTTATTACAAACCGGTTCGGAACTCTAGTTTGGGTTTGAAATTAGTAAAATTTGCTGTTTAAGTTTGATTTGAGTTTGAAGTTTGATCAAACTTAAACCAAACCCAAATCAAACTTTCATGCCCTAAGTTAGAGTGTGAGATTTTAATAATTATTGCATTTAAATATTTCTTATTATTCATATTTGTTTTATTTAATTTATTTCAAATTAATTTGAAATTTCCTGAAATATTTCGAATAGTATTTGATAAATTCGAATTAGTTAGTTTTTTTTAGTTTATAAATATTTTGCTATTTTAACACATTTATATCTATTTCGAATTGTTTCGAATTAATTTGAAATATTACACAATATAATGCAATATTACACTATAAATTTTGTAATATTGCATAATATATTTTGTAATATTACATTATATTAGTAATTGGACCCGAGTAGCCTCTACTCAGGTTACCCGTGGGTAGATGGGTAACCCAGGTAGAGTTTTCGCTACACAGATAAAAATAGGTAGGTTACTTGTGGGTTATCTATGGGTCACCCATGAGCTACCCGTAAGCAATTCATTATACAATTGGCTAATTTGCAAAAATTAAACCATTAATTAAAAAATTCTAATACATGAATGAATTATAAACAAAGCTTTCTTTATTCTTTATTTATTGTATTTGTATGAAATAATTTTATATTATTTTAGGTCATTATAATCTTTATTAGAGACACATTATAACTTTTAGCCTATAAAGAAACATTAACATTTATATTTATTATTTTAACCCAAAGTTACATTTACTAATTTAGTAATTTTACTCCATAATATTTAAAACATATGCAATCATACAAGCCTATTTTAATAGCATGTTAAACAATAGAAAATTTTTTAAAATTATAGCTTACATGTAATTTCTTAATTTTTTTGTAAACCAGTTCTGATATTTACTTCTAAGTGAAGTTCTTGGAGTGTGAATTATTTGAATAAATTTTAACAGTAAATATATATATTAGAAATTGCTTTTATAGTGATTTATTTGTTAGTGAAATGTTAAGTTCTCAAAAATATTTTAAAGTATATAAATAATGTTACCCGCCTAGTTTTGAATAGTTTACTTGTTTAAAGAAGGGCTTAGATCTTGTGTTCTGATAATAGCTATATATTGTGATTCACTTATGGCTTTTAATATACATTAACTAAATTAGGTAGATTAGTTTCCATCTTTGGTATGATAATTTAACATTAATCATTACACTGTTTGATCTTTTTAAAAATTTCTTGCATCTATCCAAATTTGACAATTGCTAAATAATTAATAATAACTTTATATAGAGAGTAATAGTTGCGAATAATAGATCATTAATAAGTTACATACCTAAATTAGATAAATGAAATTCATCAAATAATTGTTATCACCTTTTCAGATTAGATCAATAGATTTAAAATCCATTACTGTATTTGTACTATCAATATAGTGTATGAAGAATAGATCCTGTAATCAAAACAAAAAGCTTTTTAAATAATCTAATCAAAAATAAATAAACAGTATATAAATGACCACACTTTGATGTAAATAAATTTTAAAAATTTAACTACAATTCTAAATAAAATATAAATATCTTTTGATTCTGATTAATATAAATACATAGTATTTGTTTTACTTGCCTTTTCAATTAGTTATAAAATGGATCCTAAATATATATTTGATATTGAAGAGACTTCAAATATAGAATATACTCCAGATATAGAACTGTCTTTTGATACTGAACGTACTTTTGATGCTGATGCTCAAGTAAATATTGATTTATTTATTCTTGTCAAAAAAAATGAAGAATCTACAAGTGAACCAAGTACAAAAAAAATTAAAGTTAGTTTTAATCAACCAGATAAACCTAAAAAAAAAAGCTATATTTGGCTATACTTTGAAGAAGAGAAAGAGTTCAATATTTGTATTTATAAAAAATATAAAAAAAGTATATAGAAGAAAATATAAACATGACGAAACATGAAACTACACTTACAGTTAGAATATAAAATCTTTGCACCAAATGAATTAGAATCAAATTTGGACAAAAAATGTCAATTAAACATAGCTGAAATGTTTAAAAAAGTAGTTCTACACAAAGAACCTAAACAGCTGGAACTAAAGCGAATTATAGCTGAATGGCTTGTTACAGATTCCCTTCTGTTTAATATTGTATATAGAAAGAGGTACCAAAAAATAATAAACTGAATTGATCTTGCATTTATACCACCAAGTAATAAACATATTAAAAAAGATATTGATATTGCTTATCAGAAAGGTATAACAGAGCTTAAAAATCTACTTTCTATTACTTGCGAAACAGCTTCTATAACTACTAATTTATGGACAGCTCGAAGTAATGATGGATATATTGGCATAACTCTTTACTAGTTAACACCTGATTTTGAGATATGTGAAGCATTACTTGTTATTGAAAAGTTTAAACATCTATATACAGGTAAACAGATAAAAAAATATCTAAATACAAAAATTGAGGAATTCGTATTAGTTAAAAAAGTTCTTTGCACAACAACAGACAATGGAGCAAATATGAAGAAGGCTATAAAACTTTTAAATAATATAAATTAGCTACCTTGTGCTACATATACACTTTAACTCATGGTTGTTCAGGCTATAAAATTTATAAATCCATATACTAACAAAATTCATAAGCTTATTAAATTTTTCTGATCTCCAAAGCAAAGTCAATGCCTTGATTAGGTTCAAATTAACTTAGCTTATCATAAATCTACTACACTATCTATTATTCAAATTTATGATTCTGAAGAAGATTTATTTGAAATAGAAGAAAGTGAAGAATTAGAAATAAATGAAGAGCCAAAATTTATTTTGCATACTATTGAGAATATAAAAACATGTTGGAACTCCTTTTATCAATCTTGGAAAAGGCTTTTAGCATTATGTTTAGCAATTAATTGGCTTTCTACAACATTACACCTATTGGACGAAAATGGTGCCAAAGAAGATTCTAATAAATTAAAAAATTATATACTTAAGAATGATGAATGGGAGTTTTTAAAAAACTTAATAAAGGCATTTAAGCCTTTTAATGAATTGACAACCTACTTTAGCAGATTTAAATATACTACACTCTCCATCATTAATCCAAATATTGAAGTATTGAAATTTAAATATGCTGAGGATTCTTTATTAGATTTAGATGATTATGAAAAAATTATTAATTATAAATATAGTAAATAAATATTGTATCTTAAAACTCAATTCTATTAAAAATCCATTATAAATAATTTTTTTTTAAAAAAAAACTTAGATGAATCGTCAGATAATGAAAATTCTGAAAATAATAAAACTGTATTCTCACTTGAACAAACTATCTCGAAACTTAGAGGAATTATTTATAACTCTCTTTGGCACTATTGGCAAGATTTTGAAGATATTAGATTAATTTCTACCTTACTAGATCCGTAACTAAAATCAACCGAGGTATGGGGAAGTGAAACATGAAATGAAGCAATTAACAAATTGCATGCTGAATTTAAAGTTTATCAAGACTCAATTATAGCTGAAGAGTTGAAAGAGCATAATGAAAAAACTAGTTCAACATTTGCATCTCGTTTTATAAGAAAAGTATTTGGTAGTAGTAGTCATAAAAGTAAAAGTAAAGTAAATAATAAAGCTGAGGTTAATAACTATTTAAATGAGATGATTGTAGAAGTTTTATCTGAGAAAGCTGATATTTATAATTGGTGGTGCAAAAACAAAATATTTTTTCTACTTTAAGTAAAATAGCCCATAAATATCTATCAATCCTTGCTACTTCTGTCCCAAGTAAGCAGCTTTTTTCAGATACAGGAAATCAGATTACCTGTAAAAGAGTTTGCTTATCATCTGAAATAGTAAGCAGATTATTATTTGTAAAACGAAATAGTTGTTATTTAAATATTTAGTCATAAATCGATTTTTTTACTTACTGTAATTGTTAAGCAATTTATATAGTATTACTTTAATATTATCTGTATTAAACATATTATATATAATAAATAGGCTTTATAAAATAAAAATTTTATAAATTACATACTGTATCTCTCAAGATCAGAATATTTTATTCAAAAAATTAAATAAGTCAAAGTTTCAAAGTGAAAAGGCAAGAAAATGT